CCAATGGGGCAGGGGGCGCCTGCCCCTAACGGGGCAATGGGGTAAAAGCCTAGTCGGGTTATGGGGCGCTTGCGGCGCTCCTAAGGAAGGGGGTAATGGGGTGAAAGCCCGCCCGGGGCATGGGGTGCCTGCGGCGCCCCCAGGGGAAGTGGGGTAAGAGCCTGGCCGGGGCATGGCCAAGCACCAAGCCGACAAGCCAGGCCATCCGCAACCAGAGCCAGTTGCACTTTACGACAGGGATGGCGCGTCGCCTGCCCCGGCCGGTCCCCGCTGGCCGATAGGGAATGACCAGATCAGTTTCCAACGACGTTTCGAGGGGGAAGGAGTACCGGAATCGTCAAAACACCTTAAGTGAACCCCCCATATTTCGAGGGTAGCGATTCCGACGCCGTTTCGTCCGACCCGATCGGCCGAACGGTTCCCGAGATACAGGGGGCCGCCAAACGGCCGGATTTCACCTTCTACCGCCCAAAACTGGTGAAAGATGAAGTCCGACGAAAAATTTCATAAAACGAAAAGTGATTTTCTCTGTAAACTCCACGGGCGAGCGCGAACGGATTTTCGATATGACGCCCCGTTCTCGAGATAGCGGAGGGGTACTTTTTCACGTGGGGGAAAGACCCCCAAAAATCAAAATTTCGGATCGGGAGAAGGGTGGCTTCGAGAGAACCGACCGAGAGGAAGATTTTTCACCGAGAAATTTTTTTCGATTTTCGGCATATTTCCGGGGTAGCGGGGGGTGGGTAGTTTTAAAACGTGAAAAAAGTACCCCAAAATCCACCGCAGGTCGGGTTCGGGATTTTTTCGGTCCTCAATTGTCGACGAGACGAATCCAACGCACTTTGAAATTTCGAAATCGGTCGGGCCGTTCTCTCAGGAATCAAGAATCGCTAATAGATCAGTCAGTCAGTCAGTCACGCATGTGGCTTTTCAGCGTCGGTGCCACAGTCGGCTTTTGGATTTGTTAAATTTACCATAAGACTTCTGTAAAATTACATTGGTTGTAAATTTACAACAAAACATGTCGTAAAAATGACAGTGTTTGTAATTTTACATAAAAGTGTTGTAAAGTTTTACATGCATTTTATGTAAAATCACTATTTTTTTTTACAGTGGGAGAGAGAAGATTAGATTAGAAACTTAAAAGGGAGTTGAAATAGTAATAAGGGGAATGTATCTATATGCTTGAAAAATTTTGTGCTCCACTGCTTCTGATTCAGATCTAAAACGTCATTAGCCATTACAATAAAATTGACTAGGACTCAAAGATAATCACAACACTATTATTATTACGTACCCTGTGCCGAGTTTTCAAGTTCAGATGGTGGAGCATCCACAGTAAGAGACTCATCTGCACCGAGGTGACCTGTAGGAACATAGTATCATGTTGTTTAATTCAAATTTATAATGCCTATTCAATGAATATTGTAAAATTTTAATTTATTTGGATTTACTAGAGGAGGATAAAACAAAATATGAGATCGATAGACTAAAGGTAGCTTCAATTACTTTGATACAAGGTTGGTTCAACAGACGTACCCTGTGCAGAGTTTTCAGGTTCAGGTGGAGCATTTACAGAAACAGACAGTTCACGTTGTTCGTTTCTCATTGAAAGGGCTTCACTTGCACCAAGGTTGAGACCTGTAAGAACACATCAGGTTGTGCACAGCAAAATTATAGTGCCTAAACAATTAAAATTATAACACATTTTTAATTTATTGGATTTACCAGATGATACAACTTCAAGTACTGCAACCTCTTTGCCAGCACTCCAGAGCTTTAGTAACGTATCCAAGATGCTATTTCTAGAGGCATAATCCCTCTCACCACTTTCAGCCAACACAGCACAGATAGCATCGGTCTTGGACTTGCTGTGTGTATACCTCTCATTCCATGTTGCAACTCTTCCTGACTGATAGCTTGACTTAAGTCATTCTGAAAAAGAGATAAATATACTATTAGAAAATAATATGCAGCACAGTGTGATGTCATCTCACACAAAAGTAGGAATAAGTATTACATTGCATTTATTTTTCTTTTGGAGATCAGCTACTTTTTTATCATACCAAATCCCCTTGTCAACGCCAGGGTTTAGGATCTGGTAGTTTCCCTTTGACATCCAAAGGGCCACCCTACAAAAGAACAGTATAGTGCCATGTCATCAAAATTAAATCAAAACTATGAAATAATAGAAAGTGTACTGCAAGTACCTTTCAACCAAGTCTTCTTTATTTCCATTGACTGGCAATCCGCGACATTTTAACCACCTCTTGAGAATATTAATGTTGTTTACCGCTATAGGCAATTGGGGTAAAACTGCTCCAGTGACTTCTTTGTCCATCAATTGTACAGCTTGAAAAATTTTGTTCGGACTGTCCGGTTCATCAACTTCAAAGCTATTGTCTGATAATTCCCCCTTGAGAGGAAATAGCAAATAAATTAGTGTCAATAATTTGGGAAACCATTGAAATCCATTAATGAACTGAACCTGGAACTTGAAACAGTTGAAACAGTAACTCACATTATCCTGCAATCTTTTTTTCCTCCTTTGTGGAATAGGGCTGGCAGTGCCGAATAAATCATCAGCTGAATC